TATATGTGTATTGTTCCATGGCAGTCATTGTCATTCTGAGAAATGCAGTTTTTGAGGCATTATGTCACCCACTTAACACAGAATTTGATGTGACACCATTTTACTTTAAACTTTAACAAAAATACATTCTTATTAAAATTGAAAGCAGAAAGGCATATAATTTTTATGACATGGTCCCTAATGTTAATCAGAGTGAAATACTAGTATAGCTGTTTTCATTTATTTGATGTTCAAATGGGAAATTAAGAGGCTTGTTGCTTCTATACGAAATTCCTATTTAAACAAAATAATGCAAAAACAGTCTTATCTTTATATTTTAGCTGAAGTAGCTTTTGTTGCCTGCCTATGTCATTTTGTCTAATCAGAACAAAAACTCGAACAACAATGGCATTTCAAGAACATCTTGGTATGTTAGATGATGAAGATAAAATATAGATGCATTTTCAGACTCACTTATGGCTTCTGGTTGCCCCAAGACTGCATCCATTGTCCTCACAGTTTACATCATCTTCACGTGGTTGGGAGTTCCAGTGTTCTTTCTAGCTGAGAGCAAATACTATACTTTGCTTTGTTCACAGAACATTGGCTATCAATTTCTTTGTCTTAATGATTCAGCTTTAGGGAACTGTCAGTTAATCTCTGGGGGGGACTATTATGACAAATTTCTGTAATTAGATTATAATACTTGTTTAGCTCCAATAGTTAAAATATATTTATGATTTGGGGGTGTATGACCTCAATCTTTCCATTTTATATATTCAACTTTCCTTTTAATGCTGGCTGTCTTTATTTCTCTTATTGTATTCATTCTCTTTTTAACTTTGTGAGCATAATTAAAGCCAACCTACCTTTAAGAGCCCACAGTCCTTGCCTAGCAGAATAAATATGGGCACAAAGACTGAGCATATACATTGCTTCTGAAATGAATAATGCCATTTACATCAAGCTTTGGATTTTCTTTCTTGAACTTGATGGCTATTTTTTCTCTCTAGTTTAGTGATATGGTTACTACAGCATTCTTGTGATGGTAATACAGCTAGCACATCTCACAGTTATTAGCTAAATTAAACTACATTGAAATGCCAAATACTTTAGGATGGTATTAAAACAACAACAAAAACAAAAATAAAAACATGTTTCAACTGATCATTCTTTATACTAGCAAAACACCTTGAGGGTGTGGAGGGGCCAGAGGGTTTCTTAATTGTCTTGGGTGACATTTAGGAATTGTGAAGAAGGGATGGAAATAGCTTTGCCTCTTTTGTAACAAATATTCATAAATATAATAAGGATGCCACTCTGAGTGCAGATTCCCATAAATCAATGACATTAAAAACATGTGCAGAACAATTTATATGAGAAAGTGGAATGATTAATACAATAGAGTCAACCCTTGACCTAGAGAAAAGGTCACCAGAATGAGGCAGGAACGAAATGCACAGAAACTGATTTAAACCCGCAAACATCTTGAGAATCATTGGAGTGTGTTGAACAAAATAATGTTCCTTTAAATTGCCAACATCTTTTTTTAGCATACACTTTGTGACACAGTTAAGTTTTTAAAAGCATCTGTGACTTCCTGTCTAATTACATGAAATAGAATAAAGGCATTTAATCTGTTATCTAACCTTACCTCCTCATTGGATAGAGATGGGTTCTGAGACCAGGGGCCTCTTTGGGCACTTCCTCGGGGCTGTATAACATGAAAACGTCAGCTTATACTGAATTCAGGATAGAAAAATGGTACAGCTATACATTTTTTGCTGTTATTAAGAAAAAGTAGGCATAACTCTATTTGCTATTTACAAAAATATATATAGTTTGGCCTGAAGCTTAAGCAAAATCACAACTGGGCACTTCATAACTACATTGTTCTGTCTACTTAGGTTTTGGGTAAAATATGATATCAATATGTTTTAAGGTAAGTTCAGTTTAGAGCTTATTTTTGTCAAATTTGAAATTAATTTGTACTTCTCGCCTCTCTCTAGTCCTAGAATATATCAACGCTTCAATTGATGTACTTCCCCCCATGCCAATAAAAAGGTAATTGAGACTAACAGTGTACTTCAAATAAATTATAAACTTAATCTTTTTGTTTTGATTGTCAGAAATCATTTACAATCTTAATTTCTTTGGGGAAGAACAGCCCTTTGAGCTCTTTTGAGATATGTATTTTTTTTTAAAGTAGAAGTAAGTTTTACACCAGACTTTATACATTTGACCAAGTAGACTGGGGAGGTAAAAAGTGAAGGTTATGGTTTGAAGTAGTTGTAACATGCAGAGGGAAAGGGAGAATTTCAAAAGGACTCCCAGCATAAATAAAGTCTGGAGGAACTAGTACCTTTGTTCTTTTTCTGGGAAGATCATTGCCATTGTTCACTGCAGAGTACTGTAGGAGCTGAAGCAGAAGAATGTGTAAGAATCATGTTCTTCCTTTTGTTTTTAAAGCAAGTAATAGGAGGCAGGTGAAGACGCCATCTTTGTGCCCTTCCCCACTAATATCATGTCATCAAAAGAGAAGAAATCTCACAGAAACGGTTATGGACTCTTTTGTGTTGCTCAGGAGCTCCAGATGGTTTTCTAATTAAGGAAATTACTTCTACGATGACATACAAAGTGATACACTCTTGTTTTATATCCCAGGCCAAAGAGCTTGTAGGATCCTTCAAGAATATACATGTGGATAAAAATTCTCAGGTGTTAGCATAAAAAGGCTCTTTGGCACCCCACCTGTCATAGAACAAAGTGTCTGACCATTTCTCCTGGCTGGGTTCCTGTGGTGCTTTTTAAAAAATAATCAGCCCCATTCAGGCAGGGATTTTAAGGTCCCTGATCTATTTCACAAGCAATGTATTTTTTTTTTTTTAACAGCTGAATGGCACTGTAAGAAGGAATGTTTCTGAAGAAAGTTTAGGAAAGGGCCGGGTACATCCCAAAGCTGACTTTTTCATTCATGTGTCTCAAAAGGCCAGAGAAAAGCCCACCTATGACAGCAATGTGCTTGAGTACCCAGGTGAACATATAATAATTTTATAATACTATAGCCTGGGAGGACCTGGGAGCTTGTGTACAAGTGACCATTGTATTTAGAATAGCCTTATGACTCTTAAAGGGGGGGGGGGCTGCTCAAAACCTTGTCCTCATTTTTACCCTTCATCACCAGATATAGATGTTTTCATACTTAATTTTTTCTTCTTTAAATTTTATAGAACACAAAAATTCTAGTAAGTGAAAAGGTTCAAGTTAACTTTGGATCCAGACAATGTACCCATGTGTATCATTTTTAAAGAAGATTTTCCAGCGTCCTTATCAGAAAGCGTGCTTCAGTCTCTCACTCTGCCCCAGTGAATTACAATGATCACAGTGGCAGAGCACAAATTTTGAAATTAGGAGAGCGTTTTCTTTAAAGAGGTGTTTCCAGAGGGAAAATATTACAGTCCTCAAAGCACAGGGACCCCTGTCCTGTGATGGGACCTAATTTGTAGCCTTTTGGAAAGATCTGATTCTCAGTGGGCACCTTCTTGCCTCTGCCCACGACGATGGTACTTCTGTTGATTGTCACTGACATGTTTGGAGGGTAGCCTGTGCTCGCTAGGAGAATTCAGCCGGTCATTACCATATATAAAGGGCCTGTGGAGCCTGGGTCTCATGGAATGGAACAGAATCCACAGGGCCTGAGGTGTCGAAGAGGCACACTTAGGGGAAAGAAACTCCAAAGCCCATTAAAAACCACGATTCTATTTTGATGCTGTGCACTCAGGCTCCGGAGGTAAATTTTGACCCAGTTCCTTCAGGTTAATAACAAAATATTGTCATGCAGTGTGTATGTATTACTCAACACCAGGTTCCGTCCAAGGCAGAGAGAAGTAACCTGCAAGAGTGCAGAAGAGAAAGGCCTTTATTGTTCTCCCCTGTGGCCTAAATGTGGACATGTAGAAGGAAGACCTGGTCTCAGTCTTCCTGGAGTAGATACCAAGCTTGAGGGACTGAGAGGGTGGAGGCCAACAAGAAAGGGGCAGGACTTGAGGGTTGATGGAGAGTGATGAGGTCCTAGCAAAAGCGTGGGGATACAGAGAATGAGTGTGGAAAAATCTGGAAAGATGCCTGGGGGGACAGAGAAGACATAGTGGAGGAAGAGGAGAAATGCGGAGAGGGAGAGAGAAGGGGGGGGGGATAGACTATAGAAGACAGTCCCCCTTCCCGCTTTGCTCAGCCGGCGCAGGAGAGTCCAGAGAATCCAAGGTCGCACAGTCCTCTCTGCTGCCTCGCTCGCTGAATGGCTGGCGGTCCGCAGCATCCCCGCCTCTGGCCACCGCAGCCACAGGTTTACGGTTCTCGGCAGCAGCGCCCCTCCCGAAGCCAGCTGGGGCTCCCCACACTCTTCTGCAGCCACCGCTGTCCTTTGCACCTCCCTCCCTGCCTCACTTCATGCCACTCCCCTGGAGGTTGCTCTTCTCCCTATGACCCCCTCCCCCAAGGGGGCGCCTCGGCCACCAGAGACGCAGCAGGAGTCATTTCTCCCTAAGGGCCAGGAGGCCCGCAGAGAGCCCGAGAACGGGATCTATTTACATGGGGGTATTAATTAGTCTTTGAGGAACCGATCACCCACGTGCCAATGTAATTGTTGGTGGCGGGACTGTAGACACGACCAGCCACCACCGGGAGGAGAAAACCCACTCACGGCGGCGCGCTGAAACCGCGCTTTTGGAGCGTCCCCCGGTGGCCGGGCAGGACCTCGGAAAGCGCCCAGGACGCCAGTCCCTTGCGGGCTTTGGGAGTTTTCTGGCGTTGCTGGTAATGCTGCAGTTGCTACCAGTGCTAGCAGCTTTCAAATTCTCGCCACCACACCCCTCCTTCTGAAGCTGGGACTCATCGCGCCTGTTGTGTGGCTTTTTTTTTCTTCCGAAAAGGCTCGCGTCTTATCGCTCAAGTTCAAGTCCGGAGGACTTGCCCAGTCTCCTCCCCTTAAGTCATTCTCCATCCTCTGGCAACCGCTGAAAGCCCGGAGTTCTGGGCTGCTGGTGACAGTGCCAGCACAGGCAGTCCGGGTCGGTCGGGTGCAGCAGCCCGGCGCATTAGTCTCTCTCCCTCCCTTTCTTTCTTCCCTTGTCGTCTTCTCTACCTGCCCCTCCTTCTCTTGCCTCTTAAGTTTCCTGCACCGGGAACCCAACTGTGCCAAGCCTAGGTTCCCGCGGACCAATCCAGATCGCGACCCCGGCGGCACTGGGACAACGACTGTGCCAAGGCTGGACAAGGCAACTGTACTCGTCCTCGCCCGAGCATGGAGACGGAGCTCCGGGGAGGGCACGTCCCGGGCGCTGGAAACGCCAGGCCCTAGTAGCTCCTCCATGGAGCCTGTTCAGAGCGGTCCTTGCTCGCTGCGTTTGCCTCCAGTCCAGTGCAGTAAGTACCGGTCGCCTCCACTGTTCCTAGCAGAGACACCTTGGGGCAGGGTGGTGAGCACCAGAAAAGGGTAGCAGTGTGGAACTCTAGTTGGGCATAGAGCACGTCTGATAGGTGACCCTCAGAGTCCCATGCAGGTTTCCACTGTGGAAGTTAGTAACTGACTGTGCCCCTTGGCTCAAAAAGTAGTGCTAGAGATGTGATTGTGTGTGTCTATCTCTGTGTTACAAGGGGCTAGAATGGGTAAACTGAGGCCCCGCTCTCCTGTATGCAAATTGCATCCTCTTCCCCTCCACCCCCATTTCCCCCCCCCCGCACCTAATCCGGGTCAGTTCTACCTACCGGTTTCTCTGCCCGTGTCCCCCTCACTCAGTCTCTTGCTCGCTCGCTTTTGCTATCTCTCTCCGCTGCTGTGTACAGCACCCTGCCAGGGCTGGCGAAGAACCAGCCGCCGCCTTTAGTCCCAGCCTCCCGCCTGTCAAACACTAGGGCAGGTCTGGCAGCTAGAGACAGTTGGGTTCCTAACCAGCCTGTGAGCGGTTCTCTGTGTGACTAACCTCCTTCGGCCTCAGCCGTGTTTGGGCACTGGCACCTGAGACGCGCCGGGAGCTGGGAGCCCCCTCAGCCACCGCTCAAGCCCTCCCGCCCGCCCGCGGACCGCACTTGCTTGTTTCTGGAGCAGGATTGACTCGCTTTTCAAATCTTCGTGTCCCCTCCCAGCTTTTTGATTCCATCACTTCACACAAAGGCACCCTTTCCCCGTTTGCTCATCAGCCTTGTCCGCGTGGTCATGGGATGTCTAATTTCATTTATATCTAGGCTGCTGAGAGCGCTCCCTGATCTGTAAAGTGGATGTCAGGTGGATCTATGTTTTTGAAGGAACAAAGACTCAGCCAAGGCACCGCCAAGGAAGTTTGAGAGGAGGGAGGATGCAGGCTGCGTGCTGGTACGTGCTTCTCCTACTGCAGCCCACTGTATACTTGGTAAGTCGTGAGCGGTCCAGCATCTTTGAGATTCCACCCTAACCGAGAGGTCAAGTACCTGGTTGGGGGGGGGGGTGAGAAAGAGGGCGAGGCCACCAGTTCCGTGAGAGCTGTGCTCCCAGAGACAGTGGAAGAACTTTGGGAAGCCGTTCTTTGGATTCCTGCGGGAGTTTTGGGGGTTCTCATCCCCATTTCTTGCTTTATTTTCCCCATCTCGTGGTTTTTAATAGCGGCGCGCATACCCTATTCGTCCAGAAACGAAAGAGGTAGTGGGACAGGACGCCGTGGGAGGAAGGACTAGCGGGGAGAGTGAAAGTCTTGGCAGCAGTTCTTCGCCCACCTAGTGTAAATGAAAGGGGATGCAGGTGGGGTTGAAGATCTGAGCGAGAATCTACCCACCGCCCCCTCCCCAGTTTGAATTTGTGGTACATGACGAAGTGCAGTTAACTTCTTGAGACTTCCAGACTTGTAGTTGGTGTAAGTTTATCCACCAGACAGTGAGTAAAGGACCTGCATTAGGTCAGAGATAACACTTGCAACATACGCCCTCCCTCTCCTTCTAAGCTCCAGTTTCCCTCAGATAACTGAACCTCAGTTTTAATGTGGGGGTTCCTTTTAGAAAATAGGTTTGTCATTAGGCCTTGTCACTAGGGAGAGAATCCCACCCTCGGCCTCTGTCCAGGTTCCCCCAGAAACAGTTTTCAGAGGTTTGAACTCGACAGTCTGAGAGGAGTCGCAGGGTGAATCACTTAGTGTGATTTGGGAGTTATGGGCATCACAGCGAGCCTAGAAGAGTATGATTTTTCAGGTCTCATCTCTCAGGGGGCCAGGGACACTTGCATTCTGTCGGCGAAGTTGAGCCTAGTGCACCGAACCCCACAGTCGATCCCGGGCCGCGGGAGTGCACTGAGAACTCAAGGTGTTCTGTGGAGGGTCGTGGAGCGCAGGCGCTGCAGTAGCAGCAGGAGTTTTCTAACCCTGCTGGAGAAACGGACTAGGTGTGGTGTTAGTATCTTTTATTCCCAAGAGCTTCAGAATCCACAAGCCCGGAAGCAATAGTGTACAGTCCCTGCAAATGGTCGTGTTTTTCGGCCTTTGCTCTGCCTGCGATGGGCTGGGTTGAGAGTTCTGTGGATCCGGTACATACACGCGCGCGCGCGCGTGTCTCTGAGTAAGTGTATTTACCCGGTTCCGGCTTCCGGCTGCATCTCAAGAACCCTCAGTGTTGCCAGTCTTTGCACCTTTCTCGCCCGACTGTAGCAGAAGCAGACGCCAGAGGGCGCTGTGTATCAACGTCCTCGCCCACAGGACACCTTGAGGGTAAACAGGTGAAAGCAGGGGCAGCCAATCCAAAAGAACAGCTTCTCTGACTGTCGCCGGTCCGTGCTTTCCCGGGTACAACGCAGACCCAATGCAAAAAGTGTCCTTCCTATTGCCCACCTCCCGTCATTATCGCTCCCACCTGTGTTTAGTGAGCCCACTGACATTGAAGACCGGGAGTTGGAGGGCGGAAAGTTCCACCGAAGGACAGACAGCATTTTTTTTTTTTTTTAAATTGGGTGAGGTGGGAAGGAGTGAAAAATGAAAGGCGAAAACTGCAGGGGAGGGATACCACTGATTCTCTTGATCGTCACAACAAGCGTACACGTCCTCTCCGCACACCTTTAGAAATGATTCAAACCTCAGGACTGCCCCTATGTCCCTGGCCTGTGCTCACCCACACAAGGCCAGCGCTCTCGGCTATAGTGCAGTTTATTGCTTGAAGCAAGTATTTCGATAGTCTGGAAAAATAATCTATCAAAAGCAGAAGTGAAATCAATACGTTGTGTTAAATTTTAAACGTGTGTGTTGGCAGTTAAACCGTTTTCCACTCATTATAACAACAGTGCTGGATTTATTCTAATGCGGCGCGTTCTCAACAACAAGCGCATTAATTCTCCTTTAATTGTAAACTGGGAGCATTTGAAAACCATTCAGTGTGCAAATTATGCTGATTCAATTACCGTTTAGTTACAGACTTCATTACCTGAATGCCTTTTGGCAATACAGAGAAAGGAGACAATTTTTCCAATTTCACTCAAAACAATACGGAATGTGAACAATAAAACAGGGAAGGCGATTTAGAAGTCCATTCTTTTCTCTCCAATCTGAAAGAAGTTGTTTTGTGTGTAGGGGATTAGAAACCACACATACCACAAAAACAAAAGACTGGTGGCGGTGACCCAAGACAGTATTCCAGGGATTGCAATCCCACAGCTATTTGCCAGAAAAATTCCAGGCTGTTTTCCTGGAGGAGGAAGCTGATGTTTACCATCAAAATGGGATTCACAGGGTGAACTGGGCAGTTAATGTTAGGGTGGTTTTAGGTAAATGAAGAAGCAGGGAGTCTTGACTAAAACTTGTAGCAATGAACAGATGAAAACACGATAAAGCCTCTTTTCATTAGTTCCATTAAACACCAGCTAGAGCAAGGGAACCATGCATCTATTTGTGACTGTACCCCAGAACACTTCAGCCCTTTGCAAAATCCTGCAACAGATGCACACAGGTTATCATCAGCAGCATCAAGTTAAACTCCAAGAAGGCGAGATGGCAAAAAACCATTATTTTATTTTTTTTTCCTTGACCAGTCACAAGTCAGGGAGGAGTTAGTAATTCTTTGCTCTTGTGAATTGCATCATCAGTTAAATGACTGTAGAACACTCCGTGGCTTGCCTCCTTGCTAACATTTCCAATACACCTTTCCTTTATGGGTGTGAGATCTCAGCCATGTTTTTTCAAGGAGTCATTCCCACAGTTTGAGCAAGGCTTGTTTAGATGTCTCCTGTACAGAAATAGTTTAGATTACTGCTTATAGAATATGAATTTAAATGTTTCTGAGTTTTGAGAGCCATTTTTATGAGGATGTCTCTGTCTGGCAGATCCTACCCCACAGTCAGCATGGGAATGAATGCTCACAGAATGTGTTTATTGGTCCAGAGGTCTCTGAATGCCTGTCCTAAGTGGAAGGTCTTTATTTACTGTGTGTTTGTTGAGAGATGGGTCTGCCTTGTTTCCATACTAGGAGCTCATTTTTGTGATGCAATGATTACAGGTGTGTCTGTAAATTTACCTTCTGAAACCCATTATCTTGAATTCTCAAGTTTTACTACTGGGTAAACTCTCAAAAAAAAAATAAGAGCCAGGAAACCATCTTTTAAAAATAAATGTAAGGAAAATTGCTGTTTATTAAATGTTGTGTGTTTCAGATTTAAACACCTGACTGACAGGAGGAAACCTATGATGTAGCTTGTTATTTTTATTAAAGTCCTGCAGGCTTCATTTTCTATCAGTTCTGGACTGATTCCAGGATATTTGGAGTATGAGATAATGAGATGACCAGACAATAGTATTTAAACTGAATTAAAGTGCACACTGGGATAAGGTGGACAAATGTGGTTTCTTGTTTGAAAAAGGAAGGGGTGGGGGCTGTAAATGGATTCACTCCCAGTGGATTGTGCTGAAGACCTCACCAAGGAACAGGGGGTAGTTTACCCAGTAGAGAATGTGACACTTCATTTGGGGCAGCTCTCAAGAGTGAAGTGAGTCTGGTAGCATTCCTGAGCATGCAAAGAAAGGTCACTCAGAATTGGAGTCCAGAGAATCTGGCAAAGGATGGATGCTGTTATTGCAGTCTTTGAGGAAAGGCCTCGCCAGTTCTGCTAGGAATTACAATAGCTAATAACTTGGTGGCGTTGTTGGCCAAAATAGGCAAGAATTAGAAAACATTGCTAAACCTTTGATTTGATAAAAATTTGAGTTATCTATTTGCATGAGTTTAGGGGTTTTGAGTGTGTGTGTGTGATGTTGAGATGTGACTTCTACATCAGTTGTTTAACTGAGTTGAGTCTAAAAGTATTGACAATATCCACAGTGCCTCTAATTCCAAATAGTTCACATGTAAACCATCAGTTGGATTTAACTCAACATGAAGGTGACTTTTAGGGCCGATAAAGGCTGAAGGGAAAGCAGGAGAGTGGGCACCCAGATCTGGTCTAGTCTTTGAACTAGGTCTGTGTATATCCTGCCCTTTAGAGAATAAGCTAGTTACTCACTGCAAGCTTTCATCAATTTGAAATTATTCTATATAATAGATAACAACAGCTACCCAGTCCTGACTAGTGTTTTCTATTAAAACTGGTTCTGGCGGGGGCAGCATAAAGAATTCCTCCTTAGGCCAAATTTCTCCCCTTTCTGCTGCAGGGCACACTTGCCCACTCGTGATCAAGGGCAGATAGTTTGAGGCGCCTACACCTCAGCAGCACAGCAAGATGCCCCCTTAGTCCCAAGGTGCTTTCCGGGTCTCTGCAGGGCACAGAGAGGCCCCGGCTGCTTCTGGGTACATCTTCAACAGGCTCCGCCCTGCCTTGGCCTGGAAAGCAGTTCATGGAGGTGTGAGAAAGCAGCTCTTGGTGCTTCACCCTTTTGTCCCATCTACAGGAGTATTACGGCCTTGAGCCTTGTAGTGAGAGCTTCCTAGACACTGCCTTCCACACTGGGCACCGGAGGGAGAGAAAGCCAGAATTTTCTCCAACCCTGTCAGCCCTGTGTTCCCAGAAAGCTATTAAATTGGTGGCTCTTTTTGTGTGAGGCTGATTTCTATTTGGCTTTGAATTGTTGATGGCTATTTCCCCATTAATGAAAGTGTTGTCTGGGTGAAAAATATATCCGGTGGAAGGGAAATAGGTTGATTTTTTTTAAAGATAGGTGCCCAATGTCCTACTTTTCCATTCGAGGGAAGATTTTCTGCAGACTACAAAAACTGACAGCATTGTCCAGGTAATAACCACCGTCGACAATCTTTTCAAAAGGGCATCTGAGTGATGAAAGCATATGGATATTGCTTTTTCAAATAAGCAATTCTCAGTCCTGGGCTTCTTTGATTTTTATAAGGGGCTGGCAATGGAGTTGGGAGCAACGAGGGAGAAAGGGCCACATACTGGCAAAGAGATGCCTGCTAC